AGCGCTCAGTCTCACAGGAGCATAACAAAGGTGCATTTTCCAGCATCCTGATACAAGGGAGAGGGCTTCATCCAGGCTGGCTGAAGACTAGGGTATGGATATGCCCACAGGATTGACTGAATCATGGTATAGTGATGCCTAAATAGCTGTAACAGTGGTGGTGTAAGGTCAGGTCCAACCTGAGAGCAGGGCAAGCTAATTTACTTTCCTGGGAAATAAGCTGAACCCAATGTTCTCTTTTCTATACAAGGGAAGTATTTTAGTGCAGTTATTTAAAACTGCATCTCTGTTGCTGAATAGCAAACCCATTCTGGCCCAGCCAGTTCCCTATTTGCAGCTCCACATCTTCTGTAAGTGGGAAGGACTGGTGAGCTGCAGAGGGGTATCAGAGGGGGTTGTTGCTACTTGTATTCTGTCGTGGTGGTGGTGATCTAATGCCTACCTGGGGTCCCTTTGCAGTAAGGATTAGTAGGGTACAGTCATCCTACGGAGCACACGGGTCCCCTGGGGCATTCCTAGAAGAAGGAACAGCAGAGTTCTGGTGGGAGGGAACTTTGTTTCTGAGAAATTCTACTGGTGGTTAAAGGCAAGTGGCACCTTCTCCTCGTTTTAAGTCCACAAGAGAGCTCAGCTCTACAATAATCTATTTTTGTCCAAGGGAAAATACCATGCTCATATGTGAAAATATAACTACAGAACCTCTGAAAATGTCCATGCTCGTAACTATAATGCCTGGAGAAGGGTAATTTTCATTTTGGGTCCAGGGCTACTTTCTCAGAATTGCTTCAAAAAGACATATAACGATTTATACTAAATGAGGATCTAGTCTGTAATTTTCTATACCAAGTAAAAATAAGCACTGGTTTCAGTTTTTTTCCCCACTGCTTCTGAAGCACAACCCTCCAGTGAACAGTGATGAATATTCCAATGTCCTGAACATGATGGATTTTAATTTCTTATTAGAGGAAGCAGAGGAAGAGAGAAAGTAATAGCTTTAGAGAGAATGGCTCTGTTTTTTTTTTTAAGTACCTACTTTTGCCTGGTAGTCTGCTATGTAAGTGAATTTTCTTGAAATCTTATTATTGATGTACCATTTTTTTATTATTATCTCTTTTATGTCAGACAGCCCACCAGTGTAGTTCCTCAAAAGAGAATGAAAGTGGTGTAAAAACTGAATAGTGGCTGTAGTGTTAAATGTCAGGGGAAAAAATATTATTAAGTATAGCTGGTCAAAACCTAGCAAAATAGTTTTGTTAAATTACCAATGTTTTTCTAAGGAATCAAACTACAAAAGGAATCTGTTAACGTGACATGGTAGAAATTCAAGGTAGAAATTTCCATCACAAAGACATCACTTAAATTGTTCCCTAAAACTTTCTGTGTAATTGTAAGCACGGGAGGTGTAAGTGATTCAAACACAGCCCTCTAACTGTATTTTTCTTCACTGCTGTAAAATCGAAGCTCCAAGCGGCTTTCAAGGGTCTGATCACTAAGTAAAGGCAAACAATGCGCCAAGCAGGAAAGCAGTAAACACGCAGTAAATTGATTTAGGCCAATTTTTATTTTTTCAAGCACTAGCAAGTAACCTCTAATCTCTCTGTTTTTCTGACCTGCCCCTGACTTCCTCTGCTGTTTGTTTGCTTTTTCGTGTCACTCGGCTTGTGTCATGCCTAAATAAGAGGGCAGACCGATCTTTTGTTCTTGCTCACTTTTTATTTGGTTTCTATGACCTCTATGTGCAAATGGGAAGCTGAAAACCGAGTCTTGAATAAGACTGACTTTTTAGGCGTTGTAGCAGAAGAGGGTTTCTCAGCTAATTACCCAGCCTTTCAGCCAAAGACAGAAACAAAGGAAGAGTCAGGCTGCTATAAGATAATCATTCTGTTTATCTGTGCTGTACAAGCACCGCTTGTAAAGTAATGATAAGCCCTCTGCACTCAGATAACAGCGGATCCAGGCATCTCTCCGAGATGCTCTGCAGGTCTCCCAATTCTAAAGAGGCTTTTGCCTACACTCAGCTGAGAAATGGTTTTCCAGATAGTCCAGTGGATATTTTGGAAATGCCAACAAATTTCTTCTCCTACAGTCTACTGGAATGTACATACTGGGATGTGCATCCCCATTCCTCAGGAAAGGTTGAAGGGTCTGGGGTGCAATTAGTTCCCTCTCACCTCAGCCTGCCTTTGTTTCCCTGCCAGGCCAGTGGGCTGGTTCACTACAGGGGGCAGGAGCAGATCAAGGGGCCGATGCCCTGTTTTGCTTCTGTGCTTTCACAGAATCACTGAGGTTGGAAAAGACCTCCAAAATCCTCATATCCACTGTGTGCCCAATCCCCACCTTGTCACCCAGCCCAGAGCACTGAGTGCCACGTCCAGTCTCTCCTCGGACACCTCCAGGGATGGGGACTGCACCACCTCCCTGGGCAGCCCCTTCCAATGCCTGACCACCCTTTCTGTGAAGAAATTATTCCTGAATTCTTCCTTTGAGGAAGGGCAGTTTAACGCTGCTCTGAATCCCCACACTTCAGCTTCTTGCTGTCCTTGGGGTTCTCTGATTTTTAAGCATGTCACAGCTGAGGAGCACTGACAGAATCTGTGTTGAAATATACATTTTTAGATTGGCTGATAAGATATTTTCTGACAAACGCCCCCCAAATCTTCCCTGTTGATCAATACCTTCTTGGCTGCCTCTAGATGTAGGAGCTGAGGAGCGTCTGCTCCAGCTCAGCTTCCCTTACACAGGCTGGCAGTGAAATCAGAGGCACTTTGGGCAAGTAAGAATAGTTCCTGTAGGCTGAAAAATGGAAGAAAGCAGTAACAAGACTTTGTTACTTGGAACACATAGAGAGAGACAGGCTGACTATGAAGAAAATTAGGTTTAGACAGTTTTGATTCTTAATAGTGAGAGGGTTAAGAAGATGATCCTGTTTGCTTTTTGCCAGTTAAACCCTGATGTAAAACTGCTTTTGGTTTCTGAGGGCTTTTTTTCTTTCATCCAAAGGCACACTTCCTAAGACAACGTTCCCATCCCTGTTTAGCACCAAACTTTTGGGGGAAGTTTGCCAAAGTCGTACACCTATTTATGCCCAGCACTGTGTGAATTTTTTGTCTTTCACAAGCCGTGCCAAAGAGACTCATGATGAAAACAAGGATCTAAATAATTTTGGGACAAATGAGGGCTGTTTTTCTCTTTTCCAGCATTAAATGTTTATTAACTTCAAAGGCATAATAACCTTAAAAAAATTACAATACCAAACATTGCTTTGAAAAATCAATGCTTTATTTCAGAAATGCTGCCATGAAGTATCTGCAATGGGTTTGCCTTTTTTAAAAACACACCCTTCCCCTCCACCTCATGCAAACAATTTGTAGATGACCACAAGACCCTCAGCATTAGCCTGGCATCTCTTCTGTGAAAAAGAATGGAATGTAACGAGTTCTCAGAAGAGCCTCAGTTAATGTGTGCTACTATGGGCCTCCACTGACAGAGAGGGCAGGTTGCATGTCTGAGCAAGTATTCCTCTTTAATTTGTTTTCTCCTGGTCTGTATTTGCCTTCCAAGTGGGTGAAAGTGTGCTGCTATTGATCATCCCATGGGAGATGCCTGCCCAGATAGACTGCAGCCGAAGGACAGGGCTGTTGCCCCTGGGAAGCCTTGGTAGGTGTCCTGTGGGTCATTCCCTTAATTCTTGGCCCCCTGGACCAGGTACAGCCCACAGGACAAACAGCTGTGCCTGGCGTGGTCCCAAAGAAGAAGAGAGGTCAGGGACCTGTGGTGTAAATACATGGGAGAAAAGCCGAGGGGCTGAGGGATGTGGAGTGGTGATTTGTGCAGTCCCCTTTTCAATGTGTGACACTGGATAGGTCTGGTTATCTGAGGGCTGAGACACTTTATGAGGAAATGAAGGGGCCAATTTCACCTTCTCTACTCTTTTTTCAGGGTTTGGCAGTAGTTTCAGAGCCTAAGAGCATCATGATTTGCTTGGTTACATGGCAGTCTAATGCAGGGCATCATCTGGGATGTGATGGAAATGCTTTTCAGTCAGTACCATGAAAATTCCAAGAGTGTCAGCAAAACCCCTTGCTTTCTGCTGACTGAATCTATGTTTCCATCTTCCTAATTTGAGCAGACACAGAAATCCCCCAGACCAGCATTAGTTTTCAAAGCTGTTGAGAGAAAATACCTACTTTGCTACTAGAAAAGTCTGTGGGTACAATCAGGTGCCCTTTGTACCTGCACCCTTCATACCCTTACATCTGTGTAACAGAGAAATCCCTCCATGGAACAGCTATGACACAGTATGATTGTCAGGCAGCTCCAGCCAAATCATTCCTGACTCGAGCCCCCAAAGAAAACTCTGCACATCTGTAATATATTTGTGGCTCTGCTTGCTCATTTGTCCTCCCTCTGGTCTTTTTTAATGAAGGGTGTGAAAAATTAAATTCTCACAGACTCCAGCAAACTAAACAGAGGGAGCAAATGAAAGGTATGTTCCTTAAAGCACCATTATACCAGTTACTGGTTGACAAATTTATGTTGATACATGGAATGGGATCTGTAATGAGTTTCCTGCAAGCCATAACACAGTCAGGGCCAAACAGTGCCCAAAATGGGACTCACGTGACTCCCCACGCTGTGACTGAGGGTGGTTTTATGGCCCTGAAAAGGGCAGCTCTGTTTGTGCAGCACTAAGTGAATTTACAGTACGTAACTCCAAAACTACTTTTTTTAATTGTGTAGCATCAAAACAGCCCAGAGAGGGATGTGAACCCAAACACCCCTTATGGTGTTTGAAGCAATGAAAGGGGAAGGTTGGGGCTGTCGTTCCCCTGTGCTGTGTCTTTAAAAACTGTGAGTCTCCTATAAGCTGGAGGCAGCCCGTTCAGCCATTTCAAGGTGGATATAACTATCACACACTGCGCAATTTACATAAGACTTATCTTTGCTTAAATTCTTTTAAAAGGATACCATCAATTTAAAGATTACATTTCCCTGGGTCATTAAAGTTAGGCACATACTAATTTATTAAAAGGTAATGTATTATATCTAGGAAATGATAGGATCTGCCAGAAATTCCAGGGAGGCTTTAGAGGTCTTGCTGTGATGAGTCAAGCTGATAACGGCATACGGTGAGACAGCTGCATTAATGGAGCTGCCTGTTCCTCACGGAACAGGGGTGCAGTGCGGCGGCAGTAATCGTTTGGGAAGGTGGCATGGAGAGGCACGGCAGTGGAGCCTATGCAGGGAAGAAAGGAAACCCATCAAGCCTTATTTACTGGGTAACATTGCAACACATCACAGGAGTGGCTGCTAACTTCACTTAGCATGTGCCAAATGCTGCCCAGCCATGTGCAAATAAAAAGCTCCTGCGCTGAAGGAGTTTTCTCACAGTCACAATGTGCAAAAAGCCTGTGTGGATGCCCCTTCAAGTAACTAGCCTTTCAGGAGATTTAAGGGTTTGCCATTTAGATAACCCTTTCCCTAGGTTGTCTTTTGGTGGATGTTTGCAGTTAAAATGACCCCAGATCCAGCATGGTGGTCGTGTTCCCAGCCCTTGTGACATCCGCAATTTCAGAAGTCAAGCCTGAAGGCTACACAAACCCCATCAGAGAGAGGATGAGCCTCTGAGGTGAGCGAGACGCTTCGGTGTAACAAGCACTAGGGGAACGACACACTGGAAAGCAGCAGCATCAGCAGAGACAAGGTGACAGATGTGAACTGGAGGAAGGCTGATCCCTCAGGCTCACTCAGCACGCTGGGATTATCCCTGCAGGTCCACTGCTGTCGCTGAGAAACGCTGAGAGTAGAGCTGTCAACTAGGAAGAGGAATGGGGGAAAAAATCCCTTTTGGAATCAATGCTGAATTGCAGAGGTGCAAACTGGGATGGAAAACCTATGGCTCCGGGTGAGGAGGAAAGAGCAAGGGCTGATGAGATGAGATGGCAGCATGAGAGGCCCCGGAAGTTGGTCTGGTCTTGGACTTGGCCTCTGTGTCAGCAGGATTGTGTAAGCAGGGAATTCCTGCCAGCGTCTCGCTCCGGGGCTGAGGCTGAGAGCGGAGCCTGGCAGGGACGGCATCGCAGTGCAGGCTGAGCTGCTCCTGTGGATGGGTAATGTGTTCAACAGTTTCCCTCCTGTGAACACCAAACTAGACTACAGGGAGAGGGCTGAGGCAAGGGACACGAAACTCCCATGCTTCATGCTGAAATTATTAATTATTGCAGCTCTAAGCCAGTCCCAAGAATTTAAAAATAACGCCCTCAAAGTTCAGCATTAAGTGCCGTACCTGATGTCCACTGTTTTGAGACCACAAATCATTTCCAGATCTTTGGCTCCTAACAGGCACTGTCAGCACAAACCTTTTCCCCAAACATTCTGTTTTTAACCCCTGAGAGGGTCTGGGAAGCTGTGTTATTGTCTGCTTTTCCCTAAATCACAGGGAGCCATCACTGAGAACTGAGAGGTGGAATGCCTTGGGGCAGGAAAGGAATGTTCCAGAGGCCAGAGCAAAGGTATTTTCGTGCAAGATCTACTCTAGGCTCCATCATCCCATGCAATGAGTAACACACAGCCTCCTCCTCTCCTACCTAGGAGCAGGAGGAGCAGGGAGGCAGGATTTGGGCAGCTCTCCAGCAGCAACACCGTGGCAGACCCTGACTCAGGGTATGAACAACCTTGCCCTTCCTGTGGATGTTTCCTTGAAAGGAGTGATTTAGCCTTAGGCAAACTTGGAACACCAAGATATCATTTGAATTCAGGAATCACTTGCTTTCTTTTTGCGAGGTTTGGGGGGTTTTATTTTCTTTTTTTAAGGATGAGACTTATTTCTTCCACATGCTCATCTTCTGGTATTTAGCAATTTTTAATGTGAGAAGGACACACAGAAAAATTAATACTCAGTTTCTGAATTGTAAGGCAGCTTTCAGAGGAACTGAATGTAGTTTTTTCAGTGTTACTGTCAAGAAATCCTTAGGGTTTTGAAACTAAAATCTCTTTTCCTCATTTGTAAAAAAAAAATTACCTTCACTGCGAAGTTTTAATCTGAGCACAGAGTCTGACTTGTGTGTTGGGCACTGACTTGAGATGGGTTTGTGGCTTAAACAAGGAAATTCAACTTCACCTCTTCCCTAGTTTTCCTATTTGAATTATTGTTTTTCTTCCAGCAGAGCTCTATAAACATCCAAGCAAAAAAAACTTGGAGAAGGATACTGTTATACAACTGCTAATCATTACTATTCTTCTATTGTATTTGGTGACGTAAGGAAGTCCCAGCCAGATGCCTTAAAATCTGAGGAAACGTCTGCAAGGCATCTTTGTGGTAACACATGGGTGCAGATTCCATTCATCATTTCCTTGACAGTTTAACTAACTACTCCCAAGCCAAAAAAGATCCCTGAAATCCATCCCAGAAATATTAGCTGAAGGACAGGAGCAAGTCACTGAAAGCTCAGGCAGCCTGTGTAGCTGGAAATGCCAAGGCCCACAGACTGTCAGGAAAGGGTCTGCAGAACACAATCAAAAAAATGCTGGCTTGCTATACAGAGGCCTAAATTCTGTACACAGGGATTTTCACCTCCACTAGGAAAAAAAAAAAAAGAAAAGGAGGGGGGAAAAAGTTTAGAGCTCTGCACATTGTACACAGTTGGAACCACTCATCCAGAAACTCGGGTTTGAACTTTCCGAAGTACCTGTGGGATTTAGAACAAATCTCAGTTAACTTCAGTAGAACTGGGGCCCTCACATGCTTGAATAATTGAAAGCTTGAGTCAGAATCACCAGAAACATGTTTTTCAACCTTTTACAATTTGCAGCACCTTAAAGCTTTTTTTTTTTTTTTTTGCCAGTGGAAGTGTCAGTTCCCGTATAGTGATTTAATACTGCAGAAAATAGGTTTGCTTTTCTTAGCTACCCTCTGCAGACCCCTTAAAAACAGCCTATGAACACACAGATTGCAGGTCAAAAACTGTAACTTTGACATATCTCAAAATATTTGCTGTTTTCTCTAGAGCCCTTTGTCCTGATGTCATCCAAACAAGTATACAAAGGGCAGTGCCTTGTTCTTATGCTTAGAAAAAACTTAAAATGTTTAGTATTTAATTTTTTTATTTGAATGCCAATTTCATGATTTTTTGTGATTTAGCTTACATGTTTTGAACGTTTGGTGTTGGTAATGATGTATTGCTGGTATTACACACTTCATCTTGGTCCTCTATGCATTTTAAGTCAAATGTTAAAAACACAATTGAATATTGGAATATGGAGAGAAGGACACCCTCCCCACACTTGTTTTCTGCTGAGTACTTTAGACAACCTGGGGGAGCAATCTGTCCAGCACCATCAGAGTATAACATTATAAAATTATATAGTGACACATCCAAACTTGAGGTGCAGATCTACACTGTCTTCTGGGAAAAACTCTGTTCTAACAAATCTGAACTCATCTCTACTCTCTGTTGAAGCCTACAAGAATGACAACCTGAGGACAACCACGAGAGCCAGGAACAGGCCATCAAATACAGCTTTAGAGGTCATATTCCTTTTGGCACCAGAAAGAACAATGGCCATAAGTGATTTGCTTTGCATTTATGGCTTTTACCTTGGTATGTTGTTTGTCTTCTAATAAACTTCTTGACTCACTAATCATCCATTCAGAGGCGCTTTCTGAGCTGTGACTGGGGAAAAGATGAATGCATCCAGTTCTGAAATTATGCAGGGAATAGCTACAGCATGATATATTAGCTAATAAAACACAGCACGGAAAAGGCTTTGGGCGGAGCCCTGAGCAGTCAAGGGGCCACTGAGAAAAATGGGAAGGAGGGATTTGGTGAGCTGTGTGATGAAGGGAGGCAGTCCAGGGGAAAGGCAGAAGGTGTTAGCCTGACAGGTAACGGGAGGCGATGGATGAGGAGCTTTGGAGTGAAAGATCTGTGCTTGGTCTGGTCCTAAGAGTCATCACGGGACTGTAAAGAGCAGCAGATGGAAGTGATGATGAGCTGTGTGATGCAAAGAGACAGAACACCACAAAAATCCCTGCAAACCTGCAGAATACCCCAGCTGGACACAATGGGAACTGAAAATCACAGGTTGCCACTCCACCACGGACAGCTTGACCACAACAAGAGTACTGTCACCATTCTTCCCCACTGCAGTAATGCCTGGTGCCTAGGCAGTAATAGGATTTCAAGGATTTGGGAAAGCAGCAAGGCTCTCTCTGAGACAGGGGGACATTTAGGGTTTGGGAAAAAAGTAAAGGACATTGTTTAGGTGTTTTATTTAGACTACATCCAGCCTGAAGGGAGTGCTCAAAAGAACTGGAGGTTCTCCTGTGTGCCAGGTCAGATTTCTCCCTCAGCCCCAAACTCACCAAGCGTTGCTAGTATCTGACCTGAAGAACTGCCCTGGCTGTTTGTCTAATGGTTTGGGTCGCTCTGTTTAGTTTGGTTGGGTTCCTCTAAATAAATCCTTAACTGAGGGCGTTATTAACTGGAGTGGCTGCGGTGTTGGTTGCCTGGTTTGGTGGGCAAGAAGACAAGCCTAAAGATGCATTTTGGCATTGGAAAGAAATTGTTAATTGTTGCAGTTTGGATAAGGTTAAATATCTGAGGATATTAAAACCATGAAACAGAGACTTTCAGTTCTGAATCACAAATTCAGACCAAACTCCAAATGAGGAAGAATCTGAAGTTTCTCCTTGTAAAATGCTTGGTAGCCTACATGAAGTTAGTTAGCTTGCCTTCCTTAGATGAGGTCTGCCCTTTGATTTCCACCAATTTTGTCAGTTTTGAAAGTGATTGAATTACTCTAGTCCACAGCCATGCTGAGGTGTTCAGCTGAAATATAGCAATGTGAGCAGAACTGCAGGAATTTAAGCACTTATTTCATCTGTTCATTTGTTTCAGGGGTTAGTCCCATGGCTTAGTTCAAAGAGCCTTTCATGGCTGCTAAATGAGGGGAAATCTTGGGAACTTGCAGCCAACATGGCAGTTTTGGGGTCACATTTGCTTCTAAACCTTTGGGGGTTGGTTATAGGGCGATGTGGTGTAACAGTGTGACTGAGCATAAATGTTAAACAAACCATTAAAAAATCATTTCTAATCTGAAAAGACAATTTTTTAAGGGCCAGGAAAGGCTACTGAAACCTTTATCTGGTCCCTTGTTCACAGCCACTCTGAACATGTCCTTACTTCCCTGACCTTGTACTTTTTTTGCTGTAGAAAAGCAACGGCCTCATTAAATAAACCTGACCAAACTGGTCCCTATTGCACACCCATTCTCTGTGTGCTAAGGGTCACAAGGACAGAAATAAAAAGGTATTACTCCAGTGAACCTTGCCATATGCATAAAGAACACAAAGTAAGATTATCTATGTTGAGAACCGGAGCTTTCTGAAATTCAAGTACCTATTTTTACACTGGATTAGCATTTCCCCTGCCCC